GAGACCTTTATGGCGGGGTGGGAGGTTGAGGCAAATAGCCTGGCTGCTGATTACGTCCAGCCAGACAGCCGGGCCATTAGAAGATCCCAGCGGCACGCCCTGTGCATCCGGGAGGCTTTGAAAGCTAGGTTCCTGAGTGAGCAGGGCAACCAGTGACTTTTCAGTTTGTGGACAGAAAAGCTGAACCTGCCCCCGTTTCTTTACCCAGTTCATTTTGACTATCCTCTCCAGTTACATACCCCCTTCACCCCCTTCCCCTTCCCAAAAAATAAAATCATTTCGATTTTGTTAATGAACACCGTTGTCTGTGTTGCTGTTTTCGCGGGAATATTTTAAACCGGGGACGCAGACTGTGGCGGGGGGCGGGTTCAGTGTTCTGATGCAAATGATGCTTCTAAACTCCCGGAATGCCAGGCTCCGCACTGGAGGACTGGTTATTTCAATGGAGAACATGAAAAACACCTCCCAGACTGACCAGGGTAACCAGTGACTGCACTGTGTATGTGTCCTGATGCTGGACCTGACACCGCCTCTGTACCCTGCTAAAGGTCACTGTCCTGCCCAATTACCAAGCCCCTTCCCCCCCTCCAGACAGACTCTCCCTCAAAAGAACCTGACTGAAACAGTAATGGAGAGAAACAAACATTTTATTGCGAACCAGACATGAAACGTGGGGGGTGAAACTTGGACGGGGGCTTGTGTGAGGTGGGTAGGAAAGGACTTATGAAATTTTGGGGAATGTCAGCCTTCTAGTGCTAGAGCAGTCTGCAGGGGTTGACTGAAAGTTTTAACGGCCCTTGCCGCCCCTCCTTCTTTGGAGTTTGGGTGAGGGTGGTGTGGGACTTGGTGGCGGGTGAGGGCGGTTACAGATAGACTGCAGCGGGGCTCTGTCCTCCTGCCTCCGGTCTTGCAGAACATCCACAAGGCGCCGGAGCGTGTCCGTTTGCTCCCTCATTAGTCCAAGCAGCTTTTCAGTAGCCTGTTGGTCCTCCTGACGCCACCTCTCCTCCCGTTCCATGACTGCTCGGTGCATTTGTGACAAGTTCTCCCTCCACTGTGTCTGCTGGGCTGCCTGGGCTCGGGAGCATCCCATTAGTTCTGAGAACATGTCTTCACGCGTCTTCTTCTTCCTCCGCCTAATCTGCGCTAGCCTCTGGGAGTGTGCTGACAGGCTGGGTTCGGAGACAGTCGCAGATGTGTCTGTGTGAATTGTGAAAAGGGAGTGAATTCCTGAGACAGATAAATGAAATTGTATACAAAGAACCTAGTCTTTCTCTGTGAACAAGACCATGCACTGCACCTCTCACATGCGCACTCAGGACAAGGTCGAATTTTCGGCCGTCGCCTTCAGTGCCTGTGGACTTGCGGAGGTCTTGGAGTGATCTGAGAAGCGTGGCTGGAGACCTGAACTTCTGGAGCGGGCAATAATGGTAAGCCGCAGACTTGTGGCTGCTTAAAACTCCAGCAGTAGCACTGGCCTCCTTTCACATTGAAAGCAATGCCAGTCTCTGCTGCCAGCAATCAGGACAGCATCAACTCTGCCCCTGTCCCACCCCCTCGCGGCTGTCCCAGGGAAAGATCCCTGTATGCTGCCCCTCTCCCTCCACCGCGTGGCTGTAAAGCAGTCCCAATACTAACATTCCCCTCCCTAATTCAAAGCAGGGCGTCATGAGCGACATCACCCTTCTGAGGATCCCGGACACCCAGAGAGAACGCATGCTGCGGGAAAGCATGCAGAAACCGGGGCCGTATGCCGCCATGCTATGTCGGGCCATGATCCCGGAGTACTTGATTGTGGCGTGGAGGGGGCATGTCTGCTACCACGGAGGGCCCACTAAGATCGCCCTACCCCGGAACCTGATCAACAGGCTTGAGCTCTACCTCCACGAGACCTACGAGGAGTTCTCCTACGAGGATTTCTCGTCGATCCCCGGCCACATTGACCGGATTTTCGCGTAGGTGCACTGGGACTATGGAGTGGAGCGTCTTGGGCCTGGGAATCATGGAGTAACGGACATTGTGAAAATTTTTTAAAACACTTGGGACTAAATTGAGAAGAGCCTAAGACAGAGAAATCATGAAAACCCATTTGTTACCTTTGTAAATATTCCTGTTTTGTACCTGATTATTTTTTTACTAGTTTACAGAACTTTTATAAATGTACATTGTTAATAGTATAAATATTACCGTTCTGTTTTAAATAAATGTTTACATGTTTACAGCACTTACTGCTTGATCCTTCCCCTGATTCTGTGTCCGGGGTAAGGGATGGGGACGGTTGGTACGGGATCTCGGTAAGGGTGATGAAGAGCTCCTGGCTGTCGGGGAAATCAGCGGTGCCAGCGCTGTCGACTGCCTCGTCCTCCTCATCTCCTTCTTCATCTTCCCCGTCCGCTGTCATGTCCGACGAGGAACCGGCCGCGGACATGATCCCATCCTCGGAGTCCACGGTCAGGGGTGGGGTAGTGGTGGCGGCCGCTCCCAGGATGGAATGCAGTGCCTCGTAGAAACGGGATGTGTGGGGCTGGGATCCGGAGCGTCCGTTAGCCTCTTTGGTTTTTTGGTAGCCTTGTCTCAGCTCCTTGATTTTCACGCGGCACTGCGTTGCATCCCGGCTGTAGCCTCTCTCTGCCATGGCTTTGGAGATCTTCTCGTAGATCTTAGCATTCCTTCTTTTGGAGCGCAGCTCTGAAAGCACGGACTCATCGCCCCACACTGCGATGAGATCCAAGACTTCCCGATCAGTCCATGCTGGGGCCCTCTTTCTATTAGATTGCACGGCCATCTCTGCTGGAGAGCTCTGCATAGTTGCCACTGCTGCTGAGCTCCCCTCGATGTCCAAAGAGGAACTGAGATTCAAACTGCCCAGACAGGAAAATGAAAATGAATTCAAATTTTCCCGGGGGTGTGGCTGGTCAGAGCATCCGAGCTCTGACTGCAGTCCAGAGCGTCAACAGAGTGGTGCACTGTGGGATAGCTCCCGGAGCTATTACCGTCGATTTCCATCCACACCTAGCCTAATTCGATATGGCCATGTCGAATTTAGCGCTAATCCTCTCGTTGGGGAGGATTACAGAAATCGATTTAAAGAGAGCTTTATGTCGAACTAAATGGCTTCCTGGTGTGGACGGGTGCAGGGTTAATTCGATATAACGGCGCTAAAGTCGACATAAAAGCCTAGTGTAGACCAGGCCTTACTCACTGCAGTGTAAATAGGCCATCAGTCTACTATACAAACTGGCCCCTGGTATTTAAGGTTGCTAAGCACCCCCACATCTGAAAATGAGCTCCACTATATGTATAGTACACTACTTGGTTTTGGTTTTTCATATTCACTATTACTATTAAAACATGATCCTGAGATGAAAAGTTAATAAATACTAACATTATAAATATATATGCAGTCTGACTCAACTATTCCTTAATCTTTAGAACTAACTTTTTTTATCCTTAATAATGTATGTGGCTAGATTCAAAGCCAATCTCTCCTTTTTTTCCCAAGGACTCTTAGAATATAGGCAGTTAATGTCATACTTAAGCACAGCCTTTATATCTTTTCTTGCTTTCCTTATTATGTGACTTGGAATGTGAATTCTGTGAATTCTTTAGTTGGTGGTGAGGGGGGAGGTTCTTTCTTTCTTTCTAACAGTGCCAGGAGAGAGAACCACCTATAGCCTGTTCTGTCTTTGTGTGTACTATTTCTGCTCAGATTAATTTACTCACTGTGCTTCTCTATAGCTGAACTGCCATGTGTAGTTTATTTCTGAATCTGCTTGCTGCCAACTAAAGATGGAGTTACATGTGCATCTGGTATGGGTCACCACATCTTGGACAGTAGTACTAGCTGAAAGCTTAAAAAGCTTGCTTTGCCAAAAGTAACTGTTGAGGACTTGTAAATAGTTTAAAAGTCTAGATGTTACTGTATAAAACAAGGATGCTGAAAAATGTGAAGTCCTGGGCTTTTTAAAGAGTAATTGCTGTATTAAAAGTATACATTTTTAATGAACATTAATGTAGTGGGACTGCTCCAAAACTAGCAGAAATTTTTTTTCATCTGCTTTGTCAGTGTAAATTTTGGAAGTTTACCTAGTTATATAAAGGACCAATAATTATTTCATGTTTGTTAAAATGTATTTGTACAGACGATTAAGAAATCAAGTAATACAGAAATGCCAAGACCAAGGGGACCAATTAATCTGCTAACTAAGCACTGATTTAAGAGATTCCTCACTGTTGAACCAAAAATTTCTCATGTACAGCAATTGAACAAAAACTGTACAGAAATCCCTCAAAGATATTTCCATGGTAAACTATTCCAGGAAGATTAAAGATCTTCTGTTACGATGGTAATCTGAGTATAATCATAATGGTTAGTGTTAGCACGGATAGGGTCCCATGTAACTCAATTGAGCAAAACTGGTTCAGTCCAGTAGAGGGCAGTACTGCACACTCAGTAGTTAGTTCATTACAGTATGGTCTCAGTTATGACAACTGCTGCTCTTGTTTAGTTATTTTGGTTCTACATATTTTCTTTTTTTCTATGACTGTTATTTTTTCCACTGCGATTTATGATTCAGATTCTATCCTTTACTGGTCAAGGTGTTAATCAAAAGATGAGTTACGTAAAATTATTTCAGCCACATGTTGTAAGTTATTTGATTGGCTGTATTAAAACTAGGGTGACCAGACAGCAAATGTGAAAAATCAGGACGGGGGTGGGGGGTAATAGGAGCCTATATAAGAAAAAGACCCCAAAATCGGGACTGTCCCTATAAAATCGTGACATCTGGTCACCCTAATTAAAACCTCCTTGTTATATATCAAAACCAATAACATTATTTTAATATGGTTGTGTAATAATAGTAAACAGAAAAAGTATACAATGCTCACAACCTTACTACACTACACAGTTTTATCACTGTTTAAATCATAGGATATGTATGATTCTGCACTCAGCAGAGGATAAAAGTGGTTTACATTTGCTTTTCATTTTCTTACAGGTTTTAGTGCAGGAAGTCATAGCAATGAGAGGCGACCTTATGGGTTTTGGTTTCCATCTGAACAGCTATCAGAAGAGGAAGTGAGAAGACAAAGACTTAATAGATTTGAGAGATGGTGAAATTGCCAAGGGTCTAATGAAAAATGTAAAGTGCTCTTCAAAGTTGCCAAAATGTTTGCAGATCTGTTGATTTATACAGTTTCTACTTTGGTTCAGAACTATTTACTACTGGCTACATAATTTAACAGCAAAACATGCCAAGGATTTTGCAAGATATGGCTGAAAATCTAGGCTTAAAATAAGTGCCCAAGGGTGTGGTCCAAGAGTCAGAATGTGGTCTATGGCTGCCCTCCATTTCGCTGTATTTAAAATATGAAAGAAAACTGGTGGACTAATGATTGTAACAGGCCGCAACTCACTTCTGACATTTCTCTACAAAGGCTTTGTGAATGCCTTGGCTTTTTGTTTGTTGATGAGCTCAATCAACAATTTCTCTTCACCTATCAAGGGGGAAAAGGGAAAATACAGATACTATGTTAGCGAGTGTCCTTGATTTTAAAACTATATAAATCATCCTTGCAAAATTCTTCTCTTTGCCTGTGACAAGTAATCTGTTTGGATTGGTGAGTAAAATGGTAATTTTAAAACATCACAATGACTGAGCATATATGTAAATTAGGTACACATATTGCCAGCCCAGTCTTTAACGTTGCAGAATTTGGTCACTCCTGTCTCAAATCATCCCATTCTGCCTAGGATGTGTATACAGTAAAACTAATTTGTAACATTTCACACTATCTTGAGACTCCTGGCCTATGACCAATATGGTCATCCTAATTTTGCAGCCTTAACCCGGAAAGATCTTCCTTTTGTGGGGTTATTGTACTTTCATATATATATATTGTTTCTGGGGGAGGAGGGAGATTGTTTAAACAAACAAAACTGAAACATTTTCAAGGCAAGAGACGTAAGTTGCAATCCAAGAAGTTACTGTGTGTTGTTGACTTACCTATTTCCCTTTAAAAGAATACTTTGTATTCAGTAGACTACAGGAACTCTATCATGCAAATCTTTTTTTATACGACTTTAAAAATCGGACTGTTTCTCTCGATGGACTACGCTGGCTCATTTGGAGCTTGGCTATAGCTCATAAGAAAGTGAGCTGTGTTAGGGAGAAGGAAGACGTATACTGCCTAAATATTGGTGGCCAGAGGCATTCTGCCTCCTTGGAATTGTGGAAAGCACACTAGGCAGCAGGACGTGATGCATCTTGGAAAAGATGTAGCTAGAATTGTTCTAGAGCAGTAGGTCACGAGAGCACCATCGCCCGCTGAGACCTGCAGCCTATGGGACTACTGGAGCCTGCTGGCAATGTTAGCTGCCCTTCCTGCTCCTCGGCACAGCTAATCATGTAATGGCTGTCCTACCTGGGGCCTACTTAGGACAAAAGTTTCAGCGTGCTCTGTTCCTACACTAGCACACCTGTGCCAGGTCATTCATAACTTGATCTTTGCTGTGTACTGTAGAGAGCTGTCTTTCAGTTAAGTTTGCAAGTAGAAAAACAAAGAAATATGTCATTGTTCACACACAATAGCTGATATGCTAATATTAATAAAAACAGCTGTGTTCATTTTTTGTCTGTTAACGTTGAGGAAAACTGTATTTTAAAAACAAAAAGTTTGAGCAATGAAATGCCCAAACAGGCAAACCTCTTCTGTTTTGTTCTTTTCAGTCTTCAACAGGTGTTCTCTTATGAAACACAATTCATTGCCATCCTATGGTGTGTAACTAGTAGCATCTCTTGAGCATTAATTTGGGTTAGTGTTGGGTTGAAAAGTCCTTGTATAGATTATTTTCAGGGACCTATCAGGATCAGTGATCTGTGCTTTATGAAATCTTGAAACCTTTACCTCTCCATGGAGTTTTGACCTGTATGTATTTTAATAATAAAATAGCTGAAAGTTAAATTACTGGATGCACAGTAAATACATATGTTTTCATCAATGGACAAAGTCTTTTATTTGCACAGGCTGTTTCCTATCATCTGCTTGTCTCTTTCCCTTCTTGTCCATTTCATGCAATGGAGAAGCATGAAATGGGCATGCCAAACATTTGGCTTTTCAAGTGCAGAGCTAGAAATCTTACTTGCAGATACTGTTCATACCCATTATTCACAATGCTTTCTGGAGGACCCTCAATACAGGAAAAATTGTATTGTAAATGCCCATTTTCTTGATCACCTTCAGGATTGCATAGTTGGTATAAAGACTTTTTCTTGTTAGCTATCTGTGCTTTGTATACATTATATATACTAGCCACAAACTAAAATGTCCAATATTCATGTATATTTAAATAGGTTGATTTTTCTAATAATTTCCGGCCTTCTTCACTGAGTAAATAATATAACAAAGCAAGCAAACTCACATTTGAATATTTGTGATTGTGCGTATTTTTTATCCTTCACCATAGCATTGTCCCCTTGAAAACTGATCTCATTGCTGTGGTGTTTGGTTTCCAGTGTAGTTGGTCATGTTCATGAGGCTCCATAATTTCAGTTATTTAAGCAGTCAGACTGATATAGCCAGAAAATATATGGTAAAAGAATGACAGTCTTGTGGCATTTTTAGTACAATGAAAAGTATTTAAACAAAGCCAAAAAAATCACATTTTATGGCATTTATTTACTCTCGTAATGTTGGTTTAGAAATCTCAGCACAACGCGACTTAGTGCTAGAGGTGTCCTGTGCTCCCTTAAAACAAAACTCCACGTGATCACAGAAATCTCATGAGCTGGGTCCTTTTATTGTCTTTCTTTTTACTGCCTTAGTAAGCACCACTGTCATGAAATATGCCTGGATAATAACATTGTCAGCAATAACTATGGATTGTTAAATATACAGCTTCTTCACGTTTTCTTACTGCGAAATTGAAATAAATACTTGTTTTTACATTTCAGCCTGTCAATTTCTTCTCCATTTTAATCATAATATCTAATAAAAGATCAGCACAGAACATACCATATTTGTACATTCAGTCAAAGCTCATTATAAGGTAATGTAGATGAAACAAATTGCCTGCATTATGGCCTGTATCTGCTCCCATTGAAATCAATGGAAGTTTGCTGCTGATTGCAATGGGAGCTGGATCAGGTCCTTACGCTGTCATGAATAGTAATCTCTGATACAGTTCACTGATTAAATATGTAAAAAAATGCTGTTTCTGTCATATGGTTTTACCCTGCACTTTCCCAAAATGGAACACAAACTCTTCTTTTAAAAATAAATCCATTTAGCTTGGAGAGCCCTGATTGCAGATGTGATGTCATGGATTGAATATCTAAGGCTACCTTGGTTCCTCAATACCTAGGCACGGTAGTAAGAATTTGAAATTCAGCACTTCCTGCATAAACATGCTGTGATAAATGAGGGGAGAGGGGTGGTTAGCTCCCTTTTGTGGACACCCAGACCGCCAGTTAGCTATAGAATCCCTCTTGATAGCTGTTCTCTACTTGCTTTACCTGTAAAGGGTTAAAAAGTCTGCTGCATGCATAGGCACCTGACCAAAAGAGCCAATGGGAAAGCTAGAACTTGAGGGGAAAACTTCCCTTTGTCTGTGTATTGTGGTTCTCCGGGGAAGAGGGGAACATGGCAGCAGTTATGCTGTGAGAAGCTGAAGGCCAGGTATAAAAATCATCAGAATTATACCTAGATTTGGAACCCAGATATGTAGGTAGATCAGAAAATGTGTAGGAAGATGCGATTAGGTTTATTTTGTTTATTTCATATGGCTTTTGGATTCCTCTGTGCTAACCCCAGATGCTTTTGTTGCTTGTAACCATTAAGCTGAACCCCCAGAAAACTATTTTGGGTGCTTAATTTTTGGAATTGCTCTTTCAAAAATGTAGCAATAGCCTGAGTTTTCAAATGTATTTTCTTTCTATTTGTTTTTAATAAAATTTACCTTTTTTAAGAACAGGATTTGGACTTTTTTGTCTTAAAAGGTTTGTGTACATGTTTTTTAGTTAGATGGTGGCAACAGCTGATTTCTTTGTTTTCCTTTCTCATCTCTTCCCCGGAGGGGGGCGGTGAAAGGGCTTGAGGGTACCCCACCGAAAGGAATTCCCAAGTGCACCTTCCTGGGTTTCAAGAGGTTTTGTATTTGGGTGGTGGCAGCATCTACCCATCCAAGGTCAGAGAGAAGCTGTGACCTTGGGAGTTTAATACCAGCCGGGAGTGGCCAGAATTAATTTTTAGAATCCTTGCGGGCCCCCACCTTCTGCACTCAAAGTGCCAGAATGGGGAATCAGCCTTAAATAAATGCCACATGCCCGTCATACTGAAAAATTCTCTGAAATCATTCTGTGACTGAGTAATTGTATGTAAACTGAGAATTTTTTAAAAACAAGATATGTCGCTGTATAAAACTTTGAATCTGAAGATGAATTCATTTTTATCGGGAGCTGTGATTTCTTCAAGTGCTTACTCATGTGATTCCATTCTAGGTGTGTGTGTGCCCATGTGTGTGGCTGTCGGAGATTTTTGCCTTAGCGGTATCTGTAGGGTCGGCTGTAGTGCCCTCTTGAGTGCCGCGCCCATGCATCAGTATATTAGGTGCCACCAGCCGTACACTCAGTTCCTCCTTACCACCCATGGTGGTTAGTCGGAGCGCCTTTCCCTTGTCTCGCAAGGGCTAGTGGTTCTTCTACTTCAGTCTTCGCACTTTAAGGCCTGGTAAATAGTTTTACAGTAGTTAGTTAGTAAGTAGTTAAGTAGTGTAGTTAGAGTCTCAGTGGGGACTTTGCCCGAGTCTCTGGGTTTTAAGCCCTGCTCTGACTGTAACAGGCCTATGCCTGTTAATGACCCCCATAGCAGCTGCCTCAAATGCTTGGGGGAAGCACAAGTGAAGAAGTGTCGCATCTGTAAGAACTTTCGTCCCAGAACTCAGAAAAAGCGAGACATCCATTTGAGGGCCCTCCTCATGGAGGCTGATCTTTATTTAAGCACGTCTTACTCCAGGATTGATAAATACTGGCGTCTGGCACATGAAAAAGTTGTGTCTGAACTGCCCTGAAATAGGCAGCTGGTTAACACATACTAATTCTGGAGCTCTGCATGGTCTGATGGAAATCCAGAGCTGCTGGAAAGAATGTTTTTGTGGTGGTGTTACATGCTACTAATTGTGTTCAGCGACTTGCCATGCACGCACAGGGTGGCATAATAGACTAGTAGTGTCCAGAACCCTTGCAGTAATTGTCAAAGCAAACTGAAGTCAATGGGCTTTGGACGAGGCCTTAAATACAGCCGGTTGAGTTTTCAGCAGGTGCAACGACGGACTTTGCTGTGCTTCTGCTGCTCACAACTCTCACAATGCTGATGCCTTCTCTTTCCATATAATTCCAAATATTATGTGTGTGGGTTACGCAGACACCTGCAGTAAAAATTCTGTTTAATCTAAAATGGCAGGAAATCATCATGATTTGACATGCACAGTTCCAAATGATGCCTCTTCTGTGTATGTACTGTCAGACTAAAAGCATGGACAAAAAACATTTGAGGTTTTTATTAAAAAAAAACAAACAAACAGGTTCATAAAATTACAAACTTTTATTTTAAAAAATTGTGGTAATTTGTGAGCATATAGAAAGGGGGATACTATTCAATTTAAGGAGAAACTGACATGTTATAAATGGAAAAAACTGTTCTCCTTGGAACACCACATCATTTTCTTTGTAAAACTCCATTTTCAGAGTGCCATGAAATAATGTGCATTTAAGAAGGTGGATAGTATTTCAGTGACAATCTAAGTATCTACTATGGAAGTTGCTATGGTAACAATTCATTTATCATGACAGTGGAGTAAATTGGCTTATAAAACCAGAATAAATTGTCAATGCATGAGTAACTGTTGCCCTACGGCTGCACTGACATATTCACCCTTATTGATTTAAACATTCTCCTTTTTGTTTTGTATAAAAACAAATATTTAATTTGTAGTTTTTCATCTGACTGCTGGTCATGCTCTTCTAGAGTGTTTAAATGTACAGTGACTACTTTAGCTTGAAAATAACATGCAACAATTATAAGAATGTCTTTATAGAAACTTTTTTGTCGGTAAATCTTGTAATAATTACTATCATTGAGTTATATTTTGTCGGGAGCTGGGTAAATTGGAGAAAGCCCACTTGCCACACAAGTTCACTCATTTTAAGTATGTCAGGTTCACGTGCACAAGAAAAGCTTGGAATCTATAGAAAACAAATTTAATATCTTAAAAGTCAGCATATTCTTGTTGATCGATCATGCTGCCATCATATAAGAGCTTGATCCAAAGCCCATTGAGGTCCGTGGGAGTCTTTCAATTTATTTCAATGGGCTTTTGATCAGACCACCTCAATAAGGTGCCTAAGAGTACAAATAAGTTTTAATGGAACATCTGGAAGTAAAAACCAGGTCTCCTAACTCTTAATTTGGTCCAGTAAAAGATGTTACCTCACACACCTTGTCTCTATAATATCCTGGGACCAACATAGCTACAATATTTTGATAGTATAGTACAGATGTGAGAGTTCTTCTTTGAGTAGTGTCCCTATGGGTGTTCCACTCTAGGGGTGTGTCGAGGCTGATTCCCCACTTTGGCACTTCGAGTGCAGAAGGTGGGGGCCCGCAAGGATTCTAAAAATTAATACTGGCCACTCCAGGCTTGTATTAAACTCCCAAGGTTACAGCTTCTCTCTGACCTTGGATGGGTAGATGCTGCCATCACCCACATGCAAAAAATACCCTTTTGAGAACCTAGAAAGGCGCACTTGGGAATTCCTTACTGTGTGGTACCCTCAAGCCCTTTCTTCTTCGAGTGATTGCTCCTGTGTATTCCTGAGGCCTTGGCTACACTCCGGACTTCCCAGCGCTGCCGCGGCAATGCTGTGAAGCACGAGTGTAGTTGCGCCGCCAGCTGTAGTTGCGCTGTAAGTACTCCACCTCTCCGAGGGGAATAGCTTGCAGCGCTGCGAGCGAGCGTGCAGCGCTGCAGGCTATGATTACACTCGTGCTTTACAGTGCTGTACTCGCTGCGCTTGGGGGGGGCGTTTTCACACCCCTGAGCGCAGCAAGTTGCAGCGCTGTACAGCGCCAGTGTAGCCAAGGCCACAGTAGGTGTGCATGCTTGCCACGTGCACCGGTACTGGAAGTTTTTCCCTTAGCAGAACCCGTAGGAGAGGAGCACCGCTGCGACCCCTGGAGTGGCGCCTCTATATTGCGCTATAAGGGGAGCTGCGCACTCCCCCCACCCTCAGTTCCTTCTTGCCACCAGTGAAGGTAGTCGGAACTTTGTGCTCCAGCCTTGCTGTAGCTGTTCTAGTAGCCTTAGTAGTACTCATCTTCTCCATAGTTGGATAACTTCTTTAGTTAGTTGCCTGGTGCGGGCATGCCCCGTACCCCAGGCTTCAAGTCGTGCAACTCCTGTCGCAGTTCTATGCCAAAAAGCGACCCGCACACTCAGTGTCTTCGCTGCTTGGGTGAGACCCACGTAATGGATCGCTGTAAAATCTGTAGATCGTTCAAGCCTCGAACTAAACGTGAGAGAGATATCCGGCTCCGGGCCCTGCTAATGGAATCTCCATTGGCACCGGCGCGCTGACCGGACCCAGCACCGGGCACCGCGTCCTCGGTGCGGAGCGAGGCTCCCTCCACCAGCTGGCACCGGTCACCCGCTGAGAAGCAGGGAAAGACTCAGCGGCGCTGACAAAAGGACCGGGGTGAGGCCGGACCCGAGTTGGGCAGCCCACGATCCCCCTGGGGACCCAGACCTCCAACTCGCACTGAGCGGAGTAGCCCGGTCCCGTCTGCGCGTGCCTCTCCCACGGTGAGAATGCCATCGATGCTAGAGGTTGCACAGGCCGCGTGTGACATCCTCTCCCTCCTGGTGCCGGGTGCGCCGCCTGAGACGGGCCCCCGGTCCCAAGGGAAGCCGCCGTTGGGACCACACCAGCCCTCCCCGTCAAGACACAGCCCACTCTCTGAGGACTGTGCGCCCCGTTCGATGAGGTCCTCACATAGCTCGCGTCAGCCCTCCACTCCAATCAAACTGGCTGACTCGCCCGCGTGAGAGTCTCGAAGGTCCTCCACTCCTCACCGGGGGCACAGGCACCGAGACAAGCAGTGTCAATGCTCCTCCTCGACTCAGAGCTACAGGAGCAGATTCCGACACCACCGGCACAGACATTCAGGTTCGAGTGTCCGCTCCGCCAGACACCATGCTCGGAGCTCCCCATGAGTGTTACCGGCACTGAAGCGTCATAGCTACGACTGCCGGGATGACTACGAGAGCAGCACCTCGGTTGAAGTACCACTCCTCGTCATCATCGAGGTCCAGATCTCGAGGCTGGCACCAGCACGACCGTAGACGCTCCCGCTGCTCTTACAGCACCGTGCGGTCAACGGCGACCTCGGCCTCGGCACCCAGCCGCCCTACCCTGAGCCGCACCGCTCCTCAAGAGCAGCCTGCACTGCTCAGCACCCAAGCTGATCAGTGGTAAGGGGCACCGTGGC